AGCCACGTCTGTCAAACTCGAGACTCGAGGTCTCGATCTTAAGAGCTATTTTTAGCAGTGTTCAAGACTCGAGGTCTCGATCAGAGACCGGGGAGGGTCTGAATTGTCAAGATGAGTCCACCTTTTCCTCTCATGGTGACTGAGAACAGATGTTCAAGTTCATCTTGATATCACTGTAAGTAATCCCCCTTTGCAGCTCACAATGTCTGCCACAAGACCTTGCAAAGCAGTGATGTGGATCCACTCACTGACTCATATTAATGCTTTTGCAACTTTCTTTTTGTCTTAAAATTCTGGGCCAAACTTCAAGAATTATCTTTCAACCACAGAAGTGTCAGCTGCAAAAATTCATGGTGCTGTGGTAGTTTTGACTTGGTTACGATATTCGACAGAGAATGACACAAGTGACCAAATGAAAACGTTGAAAAGATCATCAAAGTCATTACAGAAATCAGATATATCGATGTCAGACAAAGGATTAATTCAGAGTTACATATAGTGTCCCAATTGAATTGCTTTTGATACACTGCCACTAATAAAAAGTACGTGCACAGCAAAACAAACCATTTGTCGTCCAAAACTTGACGCACAGTTGGTTAACTTGGGTGCAACCCTGAATAAACTTAAGGCACTGGGTTTTTTTCATAGAAATTTTGAATAACTGCCCAGCTTGCAATATCATCTTGATGAGTGGGCCCTAGAAATTGTGGTAGGTAAACAAATTGTTTCTAATTCTTAATTAAGTGTGGAGGATCAAAGAGGACTGTGATTTTATCACCCTCATGATGAAAAAAAAAGGCTTTTCAGGGGTGAGACTTAGATTAGTGTTCTAAAACCGTCTGGTTGTATGGGCCTTGGTCACACGCAAACCTTCACCTTCAAACCAACATATTTCAAACTTTTAATGGCCTCTAACAATGGAACAACGAGCCGCACTTCCCGCACCAGGTGCGCGCTGATAAGGGAGCAGGTCAGCGGTTGACTGTCGGCTGACGCGCAGACATTCCCCCCGGGAGTTTCGTGAGCTCGCACGCTTTTCGCCGCATTGCTTTATCATAGTATTTATAATCATTGGTCTCGATCTTAAGAGCTATTTTTAGCAGTGTTGAAGTCATGGCCTCTCTAAACAGCCCACTTGAAGCAGCTTCCAAACTCGAAAATCGGAGTCGATTCCTCGACTCTTTTTCAGTTTTGGAATCGAGGCCTCGAGTCTTTTTGCCGTCGATCTTCCCCTGGCCTAGTACCGGTTATCAAAATGTACTAGTGAGCTGGATTTTCGGTCATGTCTCCTTATGTTTTATACATGCAGTAAGGCTATTTTCGACGATTCAGGGAAGACAACTGGTATCAGTGTTGCTTCACGTAGAGCTATATATTTATTTTTGTGGTATTATTCCCCTTATTGACGACGTTCTTGACAGGGAAGAGAACCACTGTTGCTTCCAGTAAGCTTAATTTTATTTACAGGTATTTATTTACCTGGCTTATCATCTATTTATCATTTTCAGGTAGGGTTCCCCCTGTTCAAGACGCACTTGAGTACCGCATTAATTCTTTTTTGATAGAATTAATTGTACAATATCACCATTTTGTCTTCTCTTGTAGCAATCCCCCCCCCCCCCCTTCCTCTCCTCCTCTCTCTTTTTTCTCTGTCTGTCTATCGGTCTGTCTATCTGTCTGTCAGTCTGTCTGTCTTTCGGTCGCTCTTACACACTCTCTCTCCCTCTTTCAATCTCCTGGCATGAGCAGCATTTTCTCTGCATCAACTCTGTGTGTGTGTGTGTGTGTGTGTGTGTGTGTGTGTGTGTGTGTATGTGTGTGTGTGAGTGTGTGTGCGCGTACGTGCGTGCCTTCTTGCGTGCGCGCGCACTGTGTGTGTGTGTGGGTGTGTGTGTGTGTGTGTGTGTTTGTGTTTGACAAAGAGCGTGAGCGCGAGAGA